TAGTAAATGAGAGAGATGTTAGTTAATGTTTATAGTGAATCATATAACCAAGCTATGTGACTGAGTGCTCCCCCTTACAACGCTTCATTGTATGTCGTAGTAACAATAGTAGATACATATCACCCGCTTCGATTGATTGGTCGAGGTTGTAGCTAGCAACCGCACGTGGGGATTTCAATCCCGTGTAGATCTATACATATCTATATCGCTCTGAAGATTAACGGTTATAGTAGTGTGAGTATGCTAATTGTTTAGATTTAGCTAATGAATATAGTCTCACAAAAAAGCCCTTAACTAAGGTATGTGAATAGCTCTCAGACCTAACTTATAAGTGGGTAAGCTATTAGGCATAATGAATTGTATAGACTTTATAAAAGCCAAACATAACTGGTATGCATGTATAGTATAAGGCTCTAGCTTTTATAAAGAAGTATGTTTCATGTATAAACTTTGTACATATACATGTATAGCTTACATCCTTAGGAATACAATAAAGTTTTATGATATATTGTTTATGACATACAATGTCACATAAAATCGTAGAATTTTGTAGTAAAAAATGCATATGTTATTTTTATGGTTGTATCATTTTTAACAATATAATATATGAAAATATTGTGGTTTAAAACTAGTTTATGTGTTTATAACATATAAATGTCAAACCAATATTTCGTAAACTAGTTATAGTTTTTACATAAAATAATTATATTTTATGTATATTCTTGTATAAACTAGTACAATTAAGCATATGTATTCTCCCGCAAAGCATATAAAAATATAAAAGAGGGGCCGTAATACTCACCTTAACGTATGGTTGTTGATTTGTTTCGACAATTTGACGCGAGAAATAAAAATGTGTCGCTTCCAAAACGAACCGTCGGGATTAATTTAGTTTCCTAATAAATTAAACGATAATTTTGGTATAAATTAATAAGTGTGGGTTGTTTTGTAATTTAACCAAACTATAGGGTTGATTTACTAAATTAATTAAATGGAATGGAACTAAATTTGTTAACCATTTTCAAATGAGGGACTGTTCTAAACATTTGGAATAAAAGTTTGGGATTTGGGACCTGTTTTGTAAAAGATTTTCAAGGGAGAGGGCTGGGAATTATTTTGAAATTAAAGTTTGAAGACTTTAGGATCTAATTTGAAGGAATTTTTCAGAGAGGGGATTGTTTTAAACAATTTAAATTGAAGTTTGGGATGATGGGACTAGTTTTGATATTTATTTTAAAAGGAGGGGAAGTTTTATTTTTTTCGAAATGGAGTTTCAACAGTAGAAGACTTGATCACCTCCTGTGATCGAAGTAATTCATGCAACGAAAAAAAAACGGTCTTCGGCTGGTTTTTTTTTAACGATCGACAGGAAGAAAATAAAAAACGGGGGTGGTGGAGTACTTACGAGCAACATCAGCGATCAGAAGATGGTGGTGGTTGGGATTGTATCAGCGGCAGTAGGGGCGTCCGGTGGTGGCAGGAGAGTGAAGTCTGGAGGTGGCAGTGGCTCTGGCAGCCTCCTGTTGCTCGTTTTTCTGCTTCTGTTTGACGAAAACGAAGGGAGGGGAGGAGGGAAGGGAGTGGGGCTCTGATGGAGGTGGTGTTTAGGTGATTTTTCGATCAAAAGGTGGTGTTATAAGGTGGTGATGTTGGTGGTATGGTGATGGTGATATAATGAGAGAGAGAGAGAGAGAGAGAGAGATATGATGAATGGAATAGGGAATTAATGAGGAACCCAGTTGTTCTTTTTATAGTAAAATGGGTGTCTCACAGGCTTATGAAGCCAAACATACTAAACAACCATACTTGTACCTTGTAAATGAAATGTGTGAGCGAGGATGGCTATCCCATATCGGCAAGGGCAAAAGAAGGGCCAAAAATCTAATTTTTTTGTCTAGCAGGGTTAGTTGGGCCCCACAATGATCGATGTCACAATCCCTTTAATTGCCCAAAACAATTCTAATTTGGTGTATCGAGATCCCGATGTAGAATAATTTTTCCGAAAGTGTCGTTAGATAAAGCCGATATCAAGGATTCCAAAAACCCGAATAGATTAATTTCTCGAGTTGTAGAACTCCGGAAAATCGCGTTTAAAGTTTCGCGTCTAAATGACCCAAAATGCTTAAATTTTCAACTTTTGCAAATATTTTCGCTAAACATATTTCGAGTATGAAACTAAATATTAGACCATAGCTTGAGTCTAAAAACGCTCTCGGAGTTCCCATATAAGGTGTGTAAGTGTTTCAACGGATCGATTCAGTTTTAGCAATTTAGAGAAAGTTAGTGTTTTACTGGTTTGTTTTCTTATAACTGTCGTATCTTTTGCATACGGATTCTGTTTTGGACGCACTTTATACTTTTGAAAACAGAGGAACATGTACTACGAGATAAAAATGTTTGTTTCGCTCGCAACTGCTTAATACAAATTTTCAATTTTTCGACACTTTAACTAGGGTTATAGTTTGAGTTGTTTGATTCGTTTGCTAGTTTATATATTTGGAAGTAAGATACCATATGGTATCTTATAATAGTTGAAATGAACTCATTTATTTTACACTAGTTTATAATCCGTGAGAACCACGGGTTATAAAATTAATTCAACTTTCATAGTAAAAATTTATAATTATAAATCAATTATTTTAAATAAATTATTAAGTAAGAGATATATCAAAATTTTAAATTTATTATAATTTCAAATTTAACATATAATTAGAAAAGGTAATTTGAATTTTGAAGTGTTGCCTAATATATCTCATTGATATGTGGAATGAAGAATTGTATTTAAGTGACACCTGTCAAAAGAAGATTCAACCTATTTATTTATTAAAAATGGAGATAAGATGCACTAAAACTAAATGAGTCAAATTACAAAGAGATTTATTGTGAATTGACCATTCACAGTCTTTGACCTAAACTCTGAGAACTTGAGTAATGAAGTGGGACAATATCCTAAACTTTCCAATTTAAAGGCTACTTAATTAACCAATCAACAAAAAACCCTCCATGTAACAATTCTTGGTGTTCCATGTCTCGATGATCTCTCTGGACCATGAATTTATTCAAAAAGAAAAACAAAATTGAAGTTAATACAAAAAAATGGAAGTGGTGAATAGAGAAAAAAAAAAAGTTAAAGCTGATACAGGAAAAAAATCGTTCAAGCAGTGGTGGTCTTTAATGAAGGAGGCAGAGATGCATCTCAAGAAAGAAAAGATTAGGAGTGTCGCTGGAAATCAACCCATCAAACAAAACTATTTAAGAATGGAAACAATAAGGAATATGCTAACAATCAAAAAAATCGAAGCTAGGCTTTTCAGATTTTGTACGGGAACAGGAGCAGAAAGTCGCCGGTTGAAGCAGGAAGTAGCCGGTATCTGTTGTGTCTTCTTCATCTGCACTTTGGGAGAGAGATGAGATAAAGAAATAATATAAAGGAAAAGAATTGTGCGGGGATATGAAAAAATTGAATGGGAAGTCATCACGGAGGAATGAAATTTAAGGAGAAAAGTGAATGTTTAGGTGCTATTTTGATATAAACGCACCAATAAATGCAGTTTAATGCAGCTATATTAAAACCGCACCATAAAATATTTTAAATAGAACACTATTTAAATAAAAACACTATTTAAAATATTTTATGCGAAAATAGTTTTTGTGTTTTAATGATGTGGTCTTGACCTGCTACAACACACAAAAAAAAGGAATATATAAATAAAAACATCGCCTTATTACATAGGTTTTGCCGTAGTGATGCAAAATGGGAAATTGTGTATATAAAAGCAAGTACTTTGTCATGCATCATAGTAAAATAGAACCGATTCTCCGAAAATGTTACGAAAATGTTACTTTAGAACCACTGTTTTGAAAACAGGACAGGACCGGTCGGTTAAACCAGGAACCGATCAGGTTACCTGTTCTTTGAAGCCCAAAAACCGTTTGTAAATGAACCGCCAAAAAACCGGCCGGTTCACTCAAAAACCGGCTGAACCAGACTGGTCGAACAAAAAAAAACCGGTTTTGCTGAAGTTAAAATCAATTTTAATAAAAACACTATTAGACCTCTCTAAAATTCTGAGGGCCACCAAGGGGACCCACGACATTAGATGGTCAGGTTCGCGCCCTCGCACATCATAAAGCCTTTGTCTCCCTTCCAATTTATAGACGTCTCATTGCATCCCACTTTTGTTGATGTGGGATACTTGAATTTTCAAGTAGATATTTCTAGGCAGATTTATTAGTCATTTTTAAAACACCAAACAGTCTTGTTAACTTCATAAGCCATCTTAAGATTATCATACGTTAATTTTAACATGTTATTGTTGAGGTATAATATTTTTGT